TTTCTAAGCACCGTCACCCTCACAGCAACCCCATGAAAGTCATTATTACTATTACAGGTTGAGTTTCCTTATTCTGGAAATCTGAAATCCAAAATGCCCCAAAATCTAAAGTGATCTAAATGCCAGCATGACACAACAAGTGGAAAATCCATGCTGTGGAACTTACTTTGATGCACAAAATTATTACAAATATTATATAAAATTACCTTCATTGCTACATGCAAAGAAACATTAATGAATTTCAAGTTTAGACTTGGGTCCCTTTCCCCAAATATCTCACATCATGGATGGGCAAAGTTGCCAAAATTAAAAAAAAAAAAAAATCCCACACTCTTCTTGTCCCAAGCATTTAGGATAAGGGATATCAACCCTTAATTTGCATTTTAGAGATGCCAGTAGTTACAGAGGCTAAATATCTGGTGTAAGGATAGAGAACTAGGATGAGTAGCAGGGCCAAGATATGGACTTAGGTCTACCAAGTTCTTGGGCCCCCGTGCCCATAGCCAACATGCAGTGCTATGAAGATGCTGGCAAACCTTTGCCTCCGCCCCTCATTTCTTACCTGAAACATCTTGGCCTGTGGCTCAATTTTGCCTCCAGTGACCTTAGCAAAGAGTGTGGATGCATTGGAAAGACGAGATCAGCAGCAAACCAATGTGCCATTATTTACAACTATTTAATCTTTGTATTTAATGATGCAGTCTTTTATCATTAAATAGAACCAAATTTATGGAGTAGGATATATGACTTTAATTCTTTTGTACTAACTGGGTGTTACAAACAACGTATGTTTCTATGGGCATATGCATAAATCTTCCTTCCAGTGTTAACAGAAAATCAATCGCGACTCTGACTCCATTCTTGTGAGGAGTGCCTTGGAAGATCCGTGTTGTGATTGGGTGAAAGGAGAGTTGAGGAGGCTGTGATGAGAAGGATTGGTGCTGGAGAAAGAGTGGGAATGGGGAGGCTCGTTGGGGGGAGTTGCCATGGAGTAGAAGAGACAAAGGTAGGGAAGTGGGCTTGGCAAACTCAGCAAGCTCTGCTTATTGAACACAGTCTGGAAAAGAGTCTGGAAGCTCACACACAAGCAGCTGTGATCCAAGGGCAAGTTTACGGCATCTCCTTGGTAAAAAGTTCATTCACTCTATTTTCTCTGTCCTAGGTAAAGGCAGAGCAGGGGAAAGGCTATGTTATCTGCTAGCCGTGAATGAGTGTCTATAACTATTGCTGCTGGAAGATTCAGGAAGCTCAAGAATAGCGATTAGCGCCGGCACACCGGGTTCTAGTCCCGGTCGGGGCGCCGGATTCTGTCCCGGTTGCCCCTCTTCCAGGCCAGCCCTCTGCTGTGGCCAGGGAGTGCAGTGGAGGATGGCCCAGGTGCTTGGGCCCTGCACCCCATGGGAGACCAGGAAAAGCACCTGGCTCCTGGCTCCTGCCATCGGATCAGCGCGGTGCGCCGGCCGCAGCGCGCCGGCCGCGGCGGCCATTGGAGGGTGAACCAACGGCAAAGGAAGACCTTTCTCTCTGTCTCTCTCTCTCACTGTCCACTCTGCCTGTCAAAAAATAAAAAAAAATAAAAATAAAAATAAAAAAAAAAAATAGCGATTAAAATAAAATGCTGCTCCACGTCTCAACCTCTGTTCAGGGTGCCAGGATGTAGTCCTGAAAAATGCCAGGGTTATGCATTTTGTGGCTTGGGAGGAAGGTTTTGATCAGCCTTCAGCTGCTCATAAAAAATAAATACGGCCGTGTTCTTATATAGACTGTTCCTTGAAGATGTTTTAGAGTCGATTTCCAGCTGAAATTTCACCTTATCTTAAAAAAAAGGTTCGGGGTGGGGAGGTGGAAACAAAGCTGTGCCATCCTTAAAGCATTAGGCATGTCAGCCTGCGTAAAATAATGGAATCATAAAGAGAGACTGCTCCACTGAGATGAAAGAGCTGTCCTTTATATTCACGGCTTAAGTGTAATTCATCTGCTGTTTGCAGGTTATGCTTTAATGGGAAGGAATATTAAAGAAATGAGAAAGAATTTCCTTACTAAATGGAAGAACATTGCAAAAAAAAATGTATCTCCAATTGAAACAGCTGTTTTAGATGAGCAAATTCGGGATGAAACTGTATCCCCCGAGACTGCACGGCCTGGCACGTAGGAAGAAGGGAATGAGCAGAGCCATGGATGGAAGTGCCCCTCCGGTCATCAGAGCCAGGGTTAGTGGGTGTCACCGCTGGACTCATTGTTCTCAAACTTGGCTACAGCTGGAATCATCTGGGAGTCTGAAAAAAAAAGTATGGTACCTGGTTCCCCATCCTGAAATTCTAGCTTAATTGGTCTAGGATGTGGCCTGGGTGAGAAGAATTTTCGAAAGCTCCCCAGGGGATTCTGAGACCAGCAGGTTTTGAGATGCGCCTGGCTCAAGGAGCGCTAATTCCTTTCTCATCATGCCTGTCGCGGCTCGGGCAGGTCGCAGGCTGGGATTTGGTCGGAAGATTCATCCTTCAAAGTCAACCTCGGAGAGCCCTTGACTAAGTCTAACTTGATAGCTTCCTCTCCTTAAGGGCTAAAAAGTACAAGTCCAGGGTCTCCTTGAAAAACGAATGATGAGATGACTTTTTCTCTCTTCCATCACATAAAAAGCATAAGTAAATGCTATGGGCATTACATAGCAGGAAAAAAGATAACAACCACATCCACAGGCAGCCCAGATTCCAAGTTAGGGGATCACAAGTGAAGGCATCTTGGGAAAAGTGAGTCTTGACCCTAATTGGCTACTGAAAATGAAACAAAATGCCAGTGACAACAACCAAAACCAAAGAGCAAAAAAAGAAAGAGAAAAGAAATAGAGCCACTTCTTGATTATAGACCAGACATCAGACACACAAATGGGAGCTTTTCTCTTTGGCTTTCAGCATTTCCAGGGAGCACCAGACAGCAGGGTGTAACATAAATAAGAAGAAACGTGACTTTTAGCCAGTACTTTGCCAGTAATAAGCTTTGACCTTGACTTACTAGCTTTTATAAGACTGGTTTTTCTCAATCCATAAAGCAGGAGTAATACTGTCCCTTCTAGCTTTGTCTCCAAAATAACATATGAGTATAATTTGATAAAAGACATTTACTTCCTTGCAAGAGAGTATCTTCCTGAACTGATCTGTTACGTTGGAGGATTTGGAATGCCTGCCTTCACATACCAACACCTGTGAAGTGGCAAAGTCAAACCACGGGAAAGGCGCATGGGTCAGGGGCGAGAAATAAAGTCAGGAAGTCACAGGGCACAAGTCGCAGGGACGTGGGACATGGAGGTGGATCCACGACACACACCTCCTGGGGATGCAGCTAAACTACAGATTCTGACTCAACAGGTCCAGAAGGGACCCACACGAGTGCATTTCTGCCCAAGTGCATCTCCAAGTGATATTGTGATGCTGGCCCCTGGAGCACACGGTGAGAGGCAGGGCAGCACAGACCACCTGCTTCCGTTAATGCTCCTCTTTGGGCAGGCAGTGGAGAGTCAGGGTGAGACCGCGTGGACTGAGAAGATGGTGCATCGTTTTCCTCTGTGCGTGGTGTGTATGAAGTCAAAGAGCAGTGATGAGTTTGGTGCTGAGTTTATGTGGTTCCGAGCAACTTGGTGTGATGGGTGCCTATTCATGTTCTCAACTGGCCCTTTCTGTGGACACTAATTTTATGTATATTTTCCATTTTCTATATCATCACTGGGGGTGCTGAGTACTAAATTTTTTTCTGTCGGTTTTTTCCCATTTTCATTGAATTCTGGCATGTCAACCTCCTGCTCTTTTCTCTTTGTGGCTCCATTTTATGTACCTCTTAAGTCTTCAGTACCTGCATGTGTAGCAGTATAGATGTCTTTTTTCTGGTACCCACAATAGTGATTTTAAAAAAAGCTCTAGGAAAGTGGCAGAATTATTCCAGATACTCACCTGCTTGACCTCATCCGCAGTGGATGAGAGTGGAAATGTTGGTTAAACTTTGGGTAAAATCAGCTTGCCAACACCATTATAAATAGCATTCTGTAACTGTATTGTTTGTCCAACTGATAGATTCTTGCTTTGCTGCTATGCATCAGTGTCTGTGTTGTGTTTTCCACATCATCTTGTAATGTTCTCACACATTATATGAGGCCTGTATAGTTTAAGAATAGATGTAGTTTTATGTGTTCTAATTTAAACATTGAGTTTGGAGAAGAAGAGTTTTTAAAAGTATGATTATGACATGTTTATTATAAACATGTGAGAATAGAGCCCCTGATTATGCTGGTGGTATGTATATATATCTTGTACCTTGTCAACAGGAAAGCTTTTATGTTTGTGTATTTAATGTGGTAGTTTCTTTCTTTAAAAAAATTAGAACTGATGATGTCTCTTGGAATACATAAACACATTCTGGTCTAAAATAGCCCTCCCAAACTGGGCTTTTCCTAGAGCTCTCTTGGTTTTCTCACAGAACTGCATACCTTTTGAAATTGAACTGCTTTCCTCCATTTGTAATTATTCCTTATTCTCTAAGTCAGTGCTTCTCAAATATCAGCATGCATCAGACTCACCTGGAAGGCTGATGAGCACACAGCCCACTGGATGCTACCACCAGCATTTCTGATTGAGGGAGCCTGGGGTAAGGGCCTGAAACCTACCTTTTCCCCAGGTTCCCAGCTGATGCTGTTGCTGGTCCAGTTATCACACTTTGAGAACCACTGCAGCTTAAGCCCTGGTTGTCCAGAAACAGCAGCACATGCCTGTGGCTGTCACCTGGGAGCTTCTCAATCGCAGGTTCCAATCTAGACCTGTGGAATCAGGATCTGCATTTTAACAAGATCCCCCACATGATTTGTGTGCACATTTAGGTTTGAGCAGCCTTGCTTTAAGCCACTTGCAACATCGTAAATGCTCTCTGATGATAGCACTGAGGACCCACAGGGAGACAAGGACAAGGAGAAGGCCCTCCAGAAATGAGAACTCTTAGGTACTTACCTGGTCTTTCTGACAGTGTCTTCCCTGGCAAGCCGAGCTTCATGTGGCCATATCTGAATTTTTTTAGATGAGTTCATTTCTGTTCCAATTCATAAAGTAAATTTCAATTATTTCCTAATTCTAGAGAACATGAAATATGTGTTTATTTGAAACTCCCTATAAAGCATCATAAAGTAACAAATTGTGGATCCTTAAAAATTGAATTCCAGAACTCAGATTCATCCATCATGTGTTCTGCTCACAAGCTTTCTAAGTGCAGCAGAAATGGCGGCAGACAGATGAGCCTGGAGGCCTGGGAGGTCTGTTCAGAACGCTGCTCCACCACATCAGCTTCTCAGCCGTGGGGCCAGGCAATACAGTCTGAGGTTACAACCCCAAAGCATCATACCATCCAGTGGAAAGACGAGTCCGTCAGTAGGGCTCGGAACAGCTCCCTTCCTGGATAAATGCAGAGCCCAAGTGTGTTTTGTTTGTTTCAAATCACTTCATGACAAACATCTGGAATTCTTGGATTTTTTGCTCCCTCCAAAGAGGAAAGTAGTGTCTCACATTGGTGAATACATTTTCTAACCCCGTATCCAATATTTACAAGTGAAAACGAGGCGTGGTGAAGAGCGAGACACTGCGAAAGACAGGAAGGACGTTGAGACTTGGCAGTGGTGCCGCGGAGAGGTTTCACATTCTGAGGAGTGGACCAGGGGTGAGCAAAGCTGCTGGGAGTGCAACGTCCATCTTCTTGGGGCATCTGTGCAACCTGAAGATGTGTAGAGGGAGAGTGAATGTTATGTAGTTTAAGCATCAATTAACACTAAGCATTGTGTACTTACTAAAGCAAACACAGCTGCTTATTGGTTAGGAAGTCATGTGTGCATGAGTTTTGGAAATATAGCATGAGACCTAAACAAAATTGGATTTTCTATCTGGCAGCTTGTAGATTGTATCCTCTGCCCCCTAGGGTCTTATTCCTTTTGCCCTGCAGGGATTCTTAGGTGGGAATCTTTAAGATGCTTCTTAAACTACCAGGTAATGTTTTTAAAATAGCTTCATTGAGGTATAATTGACGTGGGATGCCCGCCCTACATTCCAGGGTGTGGTTAGGTAATTTTGACCTGTATCCAAATGTGAGCTGGTCAGAACAAGCAGGACAATGAAGATACCCATCATCTGCAAAAGCACTTCATTCCCCCTTGTCTTCGTTCATTTCCCCATCCTCCAACGAGAAGGCAAGCAAGCGACCTCTAAATCTGCCTGTCGCCGTAGATTACTTTGCACTGTCTAGAATGTTACATAAATAGAATCACAGAGAATGTACAAGGTTACTTCAAAATGTTGAAAAATAGAGTGAAAAGGTAGGTTAATTTGGATGCAAAAACGTTTTGAAATCTACGCATAGCTTTTTCATAATACACATTTCCATGAACTTTTCAAAGATCCCTCATGTACATGGATTTCAAATTTTTTGCACCAAAATTAACTGATCTTTTTTCTTTTTTTTTTTTTAAGAAATTTTAATTATTTGTACTGTATTTGAAAGACAGAGACAGATTGACAGGGTGCTCTTCCATCTCCTGGTTCTCTCTACAAATGCTCACAACAGGTAGGGCTGGGCCAAAGTGAAGCCAGCAGCCCAGAATTCAGTCTGGGCTTCCTTCGTGGGTGACAGGGACACAAATACTTGGGGCAGCACCTCCTGTCTGCCCAGGTGTGCATTAGCAGGAAACTGGAATTGGAAACAGGGCTCAAACTTAGGCACTCCAGTATGAGATACAGACATCCCCAGGGGAATCCTAATTGTTGCACCAAATGACCACCCTTAAAATTATCTTATCTCTTAATTCCAATTTTTCCCCTGCCACTCTTTTGAAGAACCTTCGTACATTTTTGAAAGAAATGTGAATACTTTCTTTCACTCAGTGTAATTATTTTCAGATTCATCCATGTGGTGGTGTGGATTGACACCCTCTTTGTTGCTGAGTAGTATTCCATTGTATGGACATACCAAACTTTGTTTTTCTGTTCAGTTTTTGATAGACATTGGAGTTGTCTCCAGTTTGTGGCTATCACTGATAAAGCTGTTGTGAACATTTGTATTCTGATTTCTGTATGAATACATGGTTTCATTTCTCTTAAGTAAATAGCTAAGATAGGAATGGCAAAGTCATTGTGAAGTTATATGTTTAACTTTTTACAAACTACCAAAATGTTTCCTAAATTATTTTTACATTTCTCATTCACAGCAATGTATAAGATTCCACTTGATTTACACCCATTTTATAAGATCAATCTAAGTTTCAACCATCATAACAGGTGTCATGGTAGCATCTCCTTGTAGATTTAATTGGCATTTCCTTAACAACCAATATTGAGCTTTCCATGTTATTTGTCATTAATATCTCTTGTTTGGTGAAGTATCTGTTCAAGTATTATCTATTATATTGTTAAGGTGGTTATTTACCCATTATTATGATTTGAGAGTTTTAAAACGTTCTAGCTGGGCCAGCGCCGCGGCTCACTAGGCTAATCCTCCGCCTAGGGTGCCAGCACACTGGGTTCTAGTCCCGGTCGGGGCACCAGATTCTGTCCTGGTTGCCCCTCTTCCAGGCCAGCTCTCTGCTGTGGCCCGGGAGTGCAGTGGAGGATGGCCCAGGTGCTATGGCCCTGCACCCGTTGGAAGACCAGGAGAAGCACCTGGCTCCGGGCTTCGGATCAGCGCGGTGTGCCGGCCGCAGTGGCCATTGGAGGGTGAACCAACGGCAAAAAGGAAGATTTTTCTCTTTGCTCTCTCTCTCTCACTGTCCACTCTGCCTGTCAAAAAAAAAAAAAATCTAGCTATAAGTTCTCTGTCAAATTAATGATATGCAAATATCACGATCTGAGACTTTTCATTCCTTTGGTATTGTCTTTCAAGGAGAGAGAAAGCATTCTTAATTTTGAAGTCTAATTTTATCTCTGTCTCTTTTTTTTTTAATTATTCACATTTTATTAACATGTAAACCTTAAGCAGACTCCAATAAAGAACAGTCAGTAAAAGTGCATCTTTTTAATGTTTTTTACACCTTAAAATAATTCTCTTGCTGACTGCAGACATGAAGGCTATTTGGAAGTATTCAGAAAAATCGTAGTAAAGACCGTTTTCCCACTTAGTTTGTAGTCTTCAATAATGATTAGGAGTTACTGTTATCAAACAAGTAAGACTGCATTTATGCATCCATCATTTTCAGGATTGTTGGTAACCTGGGCATATTTCCCCCAAATAACCTTGCCTCCTTGTGTCACAAGGCCCAGCTCGCTCACATTCACCTCAATGACAGTACCTTTAGTAATTACACCAAGAGTTGTGTATAATGGGGATGATGGATTCTTTTTTACACCAAGTATTGGCAGACAGAAGGTGGCTTTCAGTTCTGGATGTGTTACATGGGCCTTCTTAAAACGTAAGCCCATTGGTCTAATGAATCTTTCATATTTAGGTGGTTTTCTTGTAAAGCCATCTCCAACAAAGCAGACTTTGGTAACCATCCTCTTCCATGCCTTCTTTTTTCTTTTCCCTGTCCGAATAACTTTTAATACTTCTGTTTCTCCCTGGGCACGAACTTTAGGCAGAGGGACTTCCCATTTTCCCGCCTTCTCTTTTCGTTTTTGTTTAATCATGTTGGAAAGTACTTTAGCTCGGGACTGTCCTTCTCTGTCTAGCAGACAGGCAGGCACTGCTCCCTTGGGAGTCTTTTCATCATTCTTTTGTTTGGTGTTTCTCTTCTCATGCATCTTGATAGTCTTTTTCATCTGTATTTTCTCAGCATGGCGCTGCTCATGGTAGAGCTTGGCCTTCAGACCAATCATCTTTTTTGTTTTCTTTGAACGTTCATGAGCCTCCCGACTTTGCTTTTTTCTCTCTTTCTCATGGTAATCCAAACGGTACCCATAGCGTTTACGGTGTAATTCAATATATTCATTTTGTGGCATGGTGACGGCCTTAGAACCGCCAGGTGCAGCCTCCTGGGTGCGAAGAAGTTCCCGACTTTCAGGGCTCAGAAACCCATGAGACAACTCCCGTCTCTGTCTCTTTTTTTTTTCCTTTATGAATTGCACTTTTGGTGTGACAGCCAAGACATAGTTGCCTAGTGCAAAACCACAATGATTTTCTTCTATGTTTTCCTTTAAATAAGGTTTTATAATTTTATATTTAGATCTGTGGACCATTTAAAATCAGTTTTTGTATATGATACAAAGTATATGTATTTAAGTTCATTTTTTTTTACAAATGGATTTAAAATTGTTGCAGAACCATTTCTTGAAAAAATTCCCTTTATCCACTGAGTTACTTTTGTAGTTTTATTTAAAATCAATTGACCAAATATATGTGAGTCTAAATGTAGACTTGGCTCTATTGATCTGTTTGTCTATCTTGATACCTTGATCACTGCAGTGTTATAATAAAACTTGGAGACATGTAGTATAAATCTTTTGACCTTGGTCTTTTGGAAAGTTGTTTTGCTATTCTGGTCCTTTATACTTGCACATGAATTGTTGTTAGCTTGGCAACTGCTGGAAAAAGGCCTAATGGTATTCTGATCGGGGTTGCTTTGAATCTCTGGATCAATCTGAGGAGAATAAACATCTGAATCAGAATGAGTTTTTTCATCCATGAACATGGTATGTCTCTTCTTTTTTAGATCTTTAATTTCTCTCAGTAATGTTTTGTAATTTTAAGCCTACAGTTCTTTACATCCTTTCTAATATTTACCCCTCACTATTTTAATTTTTATATTACTACAAATTGTTTATTTTTTTAAGATAGCAGCTTTTTTTTTTTAAGATTTATTTATTTGAGACGCAGAGGCAGAGAAAAAGTCTTTCATGCATTAGTTCACTCCCCAAATGGCTGCAATGGCCAGAGCTGGGCTGATCTGATCAAATCCAGGAGCCAGGGGCTTCTTCCGGGACTCCCACTCAGGTGCTCCCAGGGTACACCTTAACAGGAAGGCTTTGGGGATGGCCACAAAATTTTTAGGGGATGGCCACAAATTGTTTATTTCAATTTTTTTTTGCTATTTTTTGAGATATAAACATACAACTGCTTTTTGTATATTGATATTGTATCCTGCAATCTTGCTGAACTCACTTATTAGTTCTAGAATCTTTTCTGTAGATTCTTTGGGATTTTCTACAAGGACAATTGTGGGGAGCAACTCGGACTAGACTAAGTTACTGGAATTAAGACTTATTCTATGCATCTGCTCTCCCACAATATGGCGCTGGGAGAGGAGTAAACAGCTTCTACGCAGCTGCCTCCAGTTTGACCAATAACCTGCAGGAGCTGATCCTGCTCCTGATTGGAGGAGAGCAGCGTACTTGGCGTGTGGGTAGCAGAGTTGGGATTGGTGGAAGAGGACTATAAAGGAGGAGAGAGACAACATGCACCAGGAACATCTATCTGAAGGAACATCTGAGCAGCCCCCGAGAGAGCTGGCCGGCGGTGTGCTGCTCCCCCGCGGAAGTGGGGAAAGTGGCAGGGGGAACCGCCCTTCCACGGAGGTGGAAGGACGGCAGCCAACCCGGGAAGAACCAGCAGCAAACCCGGGAAGGGCCGAGCAGACAAAAGAACAGCGCAGGGTCCTGTGTCGTTCCTCCGCGAAGAGGGGGAGCGACAGACAATGACATAAATTGCAACTAGTTTAACTTCTTTTTTTAAATTTTTGTTTATTTCTTTGAAAGGCAGAGTTACAAAGAAACAGGCACACAGAGAGAGATACC